GCTCACTGCAGGGGGGTTGGACTAGATGACCTCTAGGGGTCCCTTCCAGCCCAAAACATTCTATGATTCTATGAGTCTATGAATTTGATGGAGTAACACTTCATCTGGCGCATTGGCTTAGCCCCATACGAGTGTGTTTGGGTTAGTGCCCTGGGTTGTGAATGGAAATGATTGTGGCACAAAGTATGTTGCTGACTCTGCTGTAGATGTGCTACCAAGCAGCTGGGAGCAGAGGAGTTTGCCACAGCTGCTCTTTCACTTGGTGCAAGTTGGAGCCCTTTGCTTTGACATGGTCTTGCAAAGGAGAATGACCAAGAGGGTTCTTTTGCTTAGCTTTCTCAACAGCTTTTGAACAGACCTGTGACACATGATGGCCAAGATTCTGGGGCAATCTTTAAAGATTTTGCTGATGCATCACGCTTGCTAGCCGTTTTTGAAGCTTATAGCTCCTGCTGCTTACTTAAATTTCTCGGGCTTCTGTGAAAGTGATGGTAACTTCTTGCGCTTTTTTTTTTTTTTTAAACATTGCAGTTGCTGATGATCCCACTCATCATGTCAGTACTTTATGTGTGGGCCCAGCTGAACAGAGACACGATTGTATCATTTTGGTTTGGAACAAGATTTAAGGTATGTCAGGCAGGATATTGGAAAGGTTTCTGCCCTGAAAATGCACGTGAAGGTGGTGAAGGACAAAATACAAGTATTTATGCTTTCACAGCTGTGTACTCCTTGAGATGCAGCAAAGATGAATTTCTTCCTGGCCTTCCATATGGTGTCACTCAGTGTGACTTTACTGAAAAGATGTCCTGAGAACTGAAATTCATTGGTCTGAAAAGAGGAAAAAAATTACTGATGAATGTTGACCTGCATAAAAACTGAATGTAGCAAAAACCATAGTGACAGAAGGTTGATATTTTAAATTGTCCTCTCCTGTGCAGCCTTGTCTGTTTCTGCCAGGTCTTGTAATGAAAAATGTTTTGATCACTGTTTCCAGACTTTTTCGAAATCAGAAATATTAGGACTTTGTTTCAGATGTAAGCTTCCTGTGGAACGTAGAATGCAAGATGCATCTACTTATAATGTTTAAATATGTATGATTTGTTTAAATGTGTTAGTGGTTGCTCAGTTTGGAGTATCCTACCTTGTTATGTAGAATCCACTTAAGTTAATATATCAGGATTTGTGTAATGCCTAAAACATTGAGATTATAATCATGCTTATTAGTGCAGTGGGAAGTTGAGTAGGTTTATATCCTTAATTGGTACTTAACAACTTCTTTGTCCCCATTGCATTCTTTTTCAGGCCTGTTACCTTCCATGGGTTATTCTGGGATTCAACTACATCATTGGTGGATCGTATGTATTTACTTATATGGCTAATTTGAAGTTATAAAAGCATATATAGCTATTGAACTTAGTGCTGAATTTAGAAGCAATATTAAAATAAGAGACTGAAAGCTGTATAATGTGACTGATAATGCTCAGTGTCGCATGGTGGTCATTTAAGATAAAACCAAAGGGGAGATGTGTATGTGAGAACTCAAGAATGTAGGTGAAGGGAAAGTAGTAAGAAATTGGTTTATTTTCTAGTAAATTGATGCATTTAGGCCTTTTCCTTACTGAAAGAGTAATGCACAGTAAAGAAAGATGCCATCCCGTATGACAGACCGTCATTACTGGTTTTAGAAACAAATTTAGCTTGACTCTGATAGTGCTGTTACTGCTTTCCCTCACAATCTCGCCCAGTGTTTTTTTCAGCCTGTGAAATAAGGGAAAATGGCAGTAACAAGCCCACAGAGTGCCATATTAGCATCTGCTGAATTTGTTGTTCTGTCTAGGGTTTCATTGACTAAACTCCATGATGCAGAAATCTCCTCTGTGCACGGTCTTTCCCATTGGTGCCCTGCATTGGTTGGGGCCTCTTGGTGCCGCTGTAGTACAATTAGTGACAATAACAAATTATGTGGTTGATTTATAAAAGGAGGAGATAGTACAGCAAAACCAAATTCCCTTTTCTGGCTGTGCCTCCTACTGACTCATCTGTCACTTGAGAAAAGTGCTTGCTGTTAGATACCTGCTGTTTCTATGCATGACGGCAGATACTCAAGGGCCTCCATTCAGCAATGTTCTTGCAAAACTGAGAACAAAACAGTTCAGTACAGCAGGAGACAGGTTGTCCAGCAAAACCAGCAGTAACTTCTCAAGCTCCACAGACTATTATTTTAGAGACTAATAGCTGTACGGTCTAATTCCCTGATGTAAACAAGTATTTAATTGCATTTTCAGTACAGACTGTAGGGAAGGCTTGGAAGAGAGGGTGGAACAGTCTGTTGATGTGTTGGCACTGAAGGTTGGCCCTTCTAAAGTAGTGGCTGCAAAATGCTGAGAGAAGGGAAATTTTCTGTCGCTCACAGCCCTGGTAATGCCCAAGGCGGGTGAAGAGTAGTAACTGGCAGAAGGTGGTCACTCATTTATTTTCAGTGAAGACAGTATGTGAAACAATTCTTTTTCTTTTGCCTTGCAGAGTCATCAATGAGCTGATAGGAAATCTGGTTGGACACCTGTATTTCTTCTTAATGTTTAAATATCCAATGGATTTGGGAGGAAGGAATTTTCTGTCCACACCTCAGTTCCTGTAAGCTGGCTTTATTCTTTAGCTCACTGTTTGTTTGGTTCAATTTTCTGTGGTGTTCATCAGACATATTTGCTGGGCTTGTAAGGTGTAAAATACTTTGCTAAATCAACCTGCTTCAGATTATCACATTGACTGTGCTGCTAGGTCATCAAAAATGTTGTTTCTTGTAAATGGCCCATGTGAGAGTTCTTTGTTAACCCCTGTGGATGGCTGGTGTCCTTTACCCACTCTTAAGAGTGAGAGTAAAAGTCACAGTTCTGCTAGTCAATTGAGCTGCAGTAAAGAGAACTACCTGACAATTATCAGACAGTATAAAACAAATATTTCTCTTGTAAATGATCTTTTATCTGTATTTCCATGTAGCATCATTACCAGTTTAGCAACCTGTAACAGTAATAGGAGTCAGTTGCAGACTGGTTCAGGACTATATGTATTCTGCTTGCAGTTGGTATCAGTCACCTTCAATGAGACTACAGGTCTTGGTTTTTGAAGTGCTTTTTCTTGTGGTCTGTTCTTTGTTTTGGCATTGAAATAGTACGGTCAGAAGCCAAAGTTTGTAGCTTCAGTTGCCCTTGTCTTCATCCTTTTGGATTGTAAATATTCTTTCTTGACCAAACTTTAGTTAACAACTCAGTTAACCCTTTTTATAGCATGAACTGTTAATTATAAGATGTAAAGTTGAATTACAGATATACTTTCTGTACAAGTTTTAATGAGTAGGGAAGCTTTATAGTCTAATTTTGTGTTTGCAAGCCCTTCTGGTAAACCTAATTTTCTATAAAGATTAGAAGACAAAATGTTGTTTTAAAATGTCTTTCAAGGTAATAGCAGCTCTCAAACTGCCATCCGTCTTGTTGCTTATGTGTAATTCTCTTGATTCCTCATATGTATATTTCATTTTTCTCTATATTTGAGAAGCAGGAACAGAAGTACTGGAAACATGTCTACAGAGAGATAAATTCTGCCTTTGCACTGAAATGTTTTGTTAAAAAAAAAAAAGATGCTGTGATGGATTACAGATATATTTAATATAATAATGAAGAACTTTTTCTGTACAGGCTGATTTTTCTTGTAGAAAGGAATCTGGGTTTTATGTCTTGGCCTCAGATTTTCATGGACAAATTCAGCAAGGGGTTTGCAGGAGCTCGGTGTAACTACTGTAGAGCTGAAGTGACTCTGCCTTGATGTCATCCCTTGCAAAATGCAGAAGCTGTATTTTAGACCACTCTGTCTATTTAGATGGTAGCCTAAGTTGGATGATAAGGTCCTATAGCTCTAATTTGCCTGAGCTTTGATTTCAGACAAGTTAGTTGCTTGAGCCTGTTTCCCTTAGTCTCTTTGGTCTTCGGTTCCTCAGGTATGTTTACTTGGAGAGCAGTGAGATGGTTGGATGCTGTGATAACAGGAGCTTTGTAAAAGAAAGATGCTCCGAAGTGATTCAGATTTTTTTTTTTTTATTATTCCCCCTGAAAAAAGGGAGAGAAGTTTGGGGAGTTAAGTTTGAATTGCAGCATTTATTGTCAACAATGAGACGCCCTTATGTGGGGGTTTTCCCTCTGGATTATTGTATCTAACCATATCCCAGAGATGGAAGTTCCCCAGAATTCCTATTTCTCAGTGTGCTGAGGGCTTAGATTTGGAAAGAATTCTGTGAAGTACTGATGTGAAAAGCCAGTTTTATTGCAAAGTCTAGCACCTAAAAGGAAGTGCATGGAAAAGTAGTCTGGCATTTACCCCCAAGGCACAGCTGTTTCTCAAACTCTATCTTTCTCTCCTGGCTTGTCCTAGGTACCGCTGGCTGCCAAATAGGCGAGGAGGAGTGTCGGGGTTTGGTGTCCCACCCGCTAGCATGAGAAGAGCTGCAGAAGATCAGCAGGGTGGTGGAAGACACAACTGGGGCCAAGGTTTCCGGCTAGGTGACCAGTGAAGAACTCCTGCCCTTGGAAAACAGCAACTCTTGGGTTATAATTGGACGTAGGACCGACCCTTCCTGGTGCAGAGCATGCTTAAGAACTGAGCTCTCTGTAGTACTGTTGGATTTAACTGATTAGGATGTTTCTGGTTCAAGTGAAAATTAAAAACTGCAGAAGGGAAAAATGTAGATCTTGGTCTGGGTTAGCCAGTAGTGTCCAATTTGATTCTGCCATTAAAAAAAGCCTTCTTTATACAGTATTGTCTGTCTGTCACAACGGGCATCCATTATGCCGTCTTGTTCCGTGATGTGATGGAACAAGCTAATGGTGTTCTGTGTTGCCTGGTATGTTAAAAGCTTTGCTGACCGTGATAAGGTAAGAATCCAGTGTGAGGTAGATGGATCAAACTAACCCCAAAGTTTAGGAAGCTGACTCTTTCCATAGCTGTGCTTAAGTCCCAGGGTCTTTGGAAACATTTAAGTGATATCTCTCTGATGCATTCATAAAGCAAAGTGCAAATGTTTAATTTCCATTATTAAGCTGTATTTTGAGGGGAGTTTTTTCTTGCTGTGCAGCATTTGTCCTACCTGTTACAGCATAGGATGGGCAAGACAAATGATAAGAGGGCTATCATTTGAAATGGCAATAAACAGATATTCATACAATTGAAACCTCTGAACTCTTCATGGCATGTTACAAGGCTTGCTCTGTTTAAAGTGAAGTTGTCTGGCTTGTTTTTTTTCTCCTGAGATCTGTGAATTCTTGGCTTCAAGATTTCATTTTGATTGCAAAATTGGGTAGCACAAATATTACTTAAACTAGAAAATGTAACATATCATTGTGATTAATGTAAAGGGTACTGACTACAGCATTATGTTTGTTAACTGAAGCTTCAACTTTCTTAAAAGCTTTAAGACATCGAAGAATCAAAGCTGGAAATAAACTTTTGGCAGGGTCATGATACAATAGAACAGATTGCTTTACTACAGAATTCTTTTAATTGTCAAAGAATTAAGAAATTATTTACACTGTGTATTAGTATCTGTATTTTTTTGGTAAAACTTCTTGACATGGAGAAGGGAATGATTCTGTACAGTAGTTTTCCTCTCATACTGAGTTCCTGTGGGCAGAGCACAGGGCTGAGATCTGGGAAGCTGTAATGCAGGCTTGTTACTGACTTCCTGCATGGACTTGAGCAAACTTTTTATTAACTCAGTTTTCCCAGCTGTAAGGAGGACTCATGCATGTCTCATAGCATTCTTAAAAGGTAGCTGTCCCCCGCTCCCCTAGGTGGGAGCTGCTAGTGAGCAAGGTAAGGCTTAGGTTCACGTAAATGACAACACTTAAGCTAAGAATGTGATTGCTCTAATCTTAACCAAGACTTCTAAGTTGGAATATAGTTGCTCCCTTTTTCTTTTGTAGTTGGAGGAAGAAGAGCACTGTCACTAGGATGAGATTCAAAACGTAATTTCCCTTTAGCATTTGTCTGTCTTTTTATTGGGTGGGTAGGACACAGAAGGCTGTTCTGCCCCAACTTGGGTATCTCAGGTATCTCTAAGTAGGTGAAGTGAATCTGGGCCAAAACATTTTTATTACTCCTTTGTTTCTTCACTAAACCTGGGTTCTGAAAGTTTAAAACCCTGTAAATACTACATGATGTGAAACTGACTGGAAAATAAGCAGTCAGACTGGAAGTTTTCAGCTGGCTTGCTTGAAAAAAATGCATGCCCCATTTCTTCACTGCAACTCAATTTTGTTGATCTGGCTTCTGGAAAAATTTAGAAGACTGGTAATCATCGTATTGTGGGCTTAGATTTTTACAGGAAATTGGAGTTCAGAAATCACCGGCCTTTTTTGTCTGTTCAGTGATGAGTTTTGAAGATGCTCTTTTCTCTTTGTATGAAATGGTAGGTAGAAAAGAGGACTGCAGTGTTGTAAATACTGATCTATCGTTGACTGACAGCTGCTAATAGATGCTAACTTGAAAAGTCTGAGAACCACCATTTTTATAGGAGTCGTGATGCAGCTGGTCTTTTTAGTCATAGTAATATCACTGTCTCCAAAGCATTTGTCTTCATTTTGAGTCAGGACCTGACTGTTAAGTAAACACGCGATGGTTTGTGACTCAGCTAGAACCCTGACACACTCAAATCGCAGAACATCTTTGTACAGAAGGCCAGAAGGAAGGCTTGGGTGGGAGGAGGGATGGCAAAAGTCATTGTCCTGGCCCAGTGCACTGTGCTTTCTAGTGCATCCTCCTATAAATTAAGAGGAAAAGTTTTGCAAGGCAAATAGACTTCTGATAAGTCTTGATTAGCTTTTGAGCTGCTTCAAGTCAATTTACTTTGGTTTATGGAAGATTCACTTTAGAATTCCATTCAGTTTGTTTTTTCTCTCACTTGTCACTTGACCTGCAGCACTGTTTGGCCTCCAGCGTACACTGACAGTGGCGGTCTCTTGTTCAATGAGTACCTCCTTTCTTATTTTGTACAGGTAATTTCCCCTTTTGTAATCAGTTTTTGTTGGCAAAGTTTTAAATTAAAGTTTTAATCTCTGTTACTGTCTCTGTTTCGCTAAATCATATTTCAGCTTAAGACAAGCCTTGTGATCTGCACGTCTCTAGGGAATGTCTGAGAGCTGCACTGTGACACCATCTCCTGCTGTTGATAAAAGTACTCAAGAAAATGACCTGCTTTTGGGTGGGAGGCCTGTCTTGTCCGATCGGTTGCAAAATTGTAAAGGCATTTTCTTTGTTTATCACCGTGAGTTTTGACAGTCTGTGTCCTTCCTGGGCTGTTATGATTTTACAGCTTTTTTTTGTATATTTGATGATTCATTCTTTATTGTCCTCTGGGAGGAAGTATCCTTCTACTCGCCCTCAAACTTTGTGGAACTGATAGAGATCACTTACTTTTCCAGGGTTAAGCTTGGAGTTCTGAAGTACCCTCTCTCTGTCCAGCCAGATGTGCACAGCTGCCAGAATTCCTTTTGAGGCTTCTATCTCTACCGATTTGGAGACACATTGAGCATCCTCTGAATGACTCTTCTGGTCCTTATCATTCATCTGACTGTGCTTTTCCTCTTTGTTACCATAGAGGCACCAAAGAAGATCACGGACTTGGTACATAAGGCACTATGTGAATTTGTTGTGCTCCTTGAACTGGAAAGTCTTGGTCCACACTAAATGCACCAGATACAACAGCGTGGCAAGTGCGTGCCTTTTGATTTTGCTCCAGCTACATAAAGAGTCGGCGGCAGAGCCAGGAATACGAAATCAAATGCTTCGTCTTTCATTCCTATCACTTTGTCATGGCGACAGCTCCTCTCTCAACACAACTCGGTGGTGTGGTGTTGCCAGTGACTTAATGAGAAGCTGGACCTGTTGCTTCATTCTGTCATCTAATTGTCGCATTAGGAAAACTGAGAGGCTTTAATTTTCAGAATAGCACATTGCGTGCCATACAACATAAGATTCTTTCTGTGTTTATACATCACTGTGTACCTTATTGGGGAGGAAGGCTGCTTTGCCTTGATGGTTAAGGTAGTGAGCTGGTGAGATACGTGCTAGTTTACAGTCTGAAGCTCCTGATATTAGAAGTCACCTAATGGCTTTGTAATCCTGTCCTGCATCCATAAAATGAAGATGATTCATATTCTCCCTTGTTCTGTGCTAGGCTTAGGACGATGGATCAATTTGTATTTGCTGTGGTGTGGCAGAGCACTAATTTTGGTGAAGATGTTCTTCACACTGCCATTACCTGCAGTAGTAAATGGCTTTTCTTGTGTGGCTTCTTTCTTTGTGTGTCCCTAGATTCTTATTTTGCCATGGATGATAGTAACAGCGTGACTTGAAACTCAGAATTGAGTCTGTTGTCATGGTTTTATTAATGAAGTTACATATGTACTATGTGCATATTAAGCAGAAGTATTTGCATCTAAAAGGTGACAATGTGCTGTTTTCTAGGATTGAGAAGATGAAGACATCAGCTGCTTGTATTTTTCAAGCACACTGTTTTGATGATGAAAGGAGTTCTGTTCACAGCAGTGGCTCACCCTTTTATCATCTGGAACATGATCTAGGAGGAGTGATTACAACACTCATGAGCAAAAATTACATAGAAGGAGCTGTAACTGTGGGATGCTGGCAAGGCCTCTGCAGAATCTTGTTGATGTTGCAGGGGGAAAAAGTGATAATGAAACCTTAATTCTGGTGCTTGGAGGTGGTTTGGATTTTTTGTTTTAGTTTTTCCCTCCAGAGGACAAAGCTCTTGCAAAACGCCAGTAGAGCTCAAAATGGCTTTTAAGTCCAAGTTTCTCTGGACTGCTAACCATTAGCCATGGGTTGTCCATGAAGATGATCATGGCAGCTGGAGGCAGCGTTTAAAAACAAAACTGCCACAAGCAGTGTGCTTGCATCTGAATGTTTACATTTATTTCTTAAAAGAAACGTGTATTTAGTCCCTGGACTGGCCATGGATTGAAGGGACAGCCATAAAGGACAGATCCCTGTATTAATGGTTTCATTGACTTGTCATTGTAACCGGAGGTGTGAAGATGCCTGCCCGCACCAACCCTGGAGTTTGCCAAGCCGCCTGGTAAATCTTCACACCACAGAGTATAGGTCACCTTGTGATAGCTAGTTAAATGTAGAAAGCATCTTTGCCATAATGTTTCCTTTTGCTTTCAAGGTAGAGTATTGGTTAGCCGTAGCTAACCCTAACAGACCCCTCAGCCTGTTGTCAAATCAAAGCATCCTCACATATTCCACTATGATACTCTTAAAGTCATATGGTTTAGTGTTAGGTAGTCCTGCAAGGAACATGAGTTGGACACCATGATCCTTATGGGTCCCCTCCTACTTGAGATGTTCTATGTCACTCCAACTGGAAAGGCTTTTTGTAGCACTTGTCTTCATTAAGACTTACTTGACTGGCACCGCTCAGCGTTGGTGCTGCAGAAGCTCTAGCAGGCAATTGGGTAGAAAGCTCATTTTGCAATCATAAGTGGGGAGAAGATTAAGGGGTCTTCCTGTTGCCCATCCCTCCCCATGCAGTGGAACAGTGTGCTTTGCCTCTTGGGTTAGGCTGGAGCGGCTGTTGCCTTCTTGCAGTCCACGTAGTGCCCGTCCTGCATAGTGCTGCTCCTATACATAGGAGCGGGTCTCAGATCGGTGCGATCAAAACTCTTTAGGTTGCCTGATGCTTGGGCAGTGGTGTGTGCTTATAGCCCCAGGCTGTGGGGAGTGAATATTGTGCCAGAGGAATGCAGCTCAGGTTAAGTCCTTGCTTTTTTTTTGTTTGGTTGATTTTTTTAAAATGAAAATACAGTATGTGAATGGTGTTGGCGGATGTACCAGGTAGAGAAGCCTAAGGTACCGATTTTTTTGGGATAAAAAAATACTTTAAGTCGGTCAGGAAGGGATCTAAAGATGCTGAGAAATTGGTTTCTAGCTGGACTTGAGAATGGGGGAAAGGATTGTATTCATTGTCTGATCAAAGAATGTTTTTCAAAGTGCTTTTTCCCCCCTGAGATGGGCTCAGAAGTGGCAATCTCTGCTCGGGCTGCAAAGAAAAGCAACGCCTGTCTCCGTCCACATCTATGGAGTCCTTAACCCCACAGCGGGTGGAGGGGCAAGATGAGACGCTGGTGAGTATTTGCACCCGCAACTGGATGGGGCAGATAAGCCTTTCGCTAGGAGGAAGCCTTGAGCACGTGCCTGTAGCGCTGCTTTGCCCATCTTTTTAAGCAGTTCTTTGTTCACTCTGAACTGCCTGAGCTTATTGCTGTTACGAATTTAAGCAACTGCAAAAAGAAAATGGCAATGTGTGTGCCTTGGGACTTGGCCCTGTTTGTTGTAGGGGCTCAGGCTGAAGAGTTAACTGCAACTGATGTTAATTGTTCAGTATTCTCACCGAGGAGCTTTTACATACAGATTCATTTTCTTCCAAGTTGATTCAAAGCCCGGATGCGGGTGGGTTT